TCAGTAGGCGAGGCCGCGGTCTCGGGGTTCGGCTTCAGCAGCAGACAGAGGCCTCGTAGCTTCTCAGTAGTCACCGGCGAAAGCTGTTGTTTGTACTCACTGCCGATTTCCAGAAGGCTCTGTCGATCATAGATGTGTTTCCGAGTGTTTATCTGATGATTTTGCGATAAGGTGAGACTGTTTGAAGACGAGGAAACGAGACTAACAGACATAAAAACACCGTTTTTGGGACCCGGAGTAGACGCTGTGTCCGACCGCGCCGCCATCTTGGATTCTTTAAATCCAAAATAATAGTTTGTTCTCGTTGTATGTTGTGTAAGTGCTATTTGTCCTCTGTGGGTTTTGGTCTTGAACGTGCTCTAGTGAAAAGCTAAAGAGCTACAGATCACATGACCTCCAGCTTTGCGTGTGAATGTGTCAGAACTGCATTTATTCTTATATTGGTTTTTTGGGTGTCAACAACCCTCAAAGTAATCAATTTGTCAAGAGTTGTATAAAAACAAATAAATGGCCATGTAGACACAAATACAGACATGTCAGCCTGTTTACCCCTCAAACATCAGATCTACTGAAGAACAAACCATTGAGGATGTAATCTGAACACGTCATGTATTTTGAAAGGAAAACATGGATCTAGGAAACATGTCTGTTGAACAGTACATTGCACATTAAGATTAATTTCCCTAAAGACACAAAAGCCAGCTGAGGGGAAACACGAACTTCCTCTTAGAACATGTTGTCATATAAACTTTATATCACATCTAAAATACATTTAGTGTGATTGCATTTCATTGGACTGCATCCGTTTCAATTTCCTCCTAGTTGCCAGCATATTTTTCCGGCTTTGTCCACTAACTCGTACTGGTTCAGTCAAGGCAAGTCATGGCTTGAAGATAAGTCAAGCAATTTCTAAATGATAACTTCTAACCAGAAAACACAATTGTGCAATCGCTTTCCTATAGACCAATTTCAGTGTTTGCAAACAGTGATGGCATTTTTTGTGGGCGGAGTCTATCTGGTGGCAGAAAATGCCCGTTTTAATGTAGTTTTTAGGGTAGCAGTCTATGCAAACCATGGAATAAAAGAATAAAAAAAGGTAATTTTGAGTTTATATTTCAAAATTCTTACTTTTTTTCTTGCAATTCCGATATTATATCTCACACTTCTGATAAGAAAAATCAACTCGTCATTCTCTCTTTTCCCCTCTGCTCAGAATTTAGGAGTTTATAATCCCACACTTCTAGCTTTTTTTCCCTCAGAATTGACAAACTCGCAATTGTTGAGTTTATAAAGTCCGAACTAGAAGATATAAACTTGCATTTCCGAGAAAAAAAGTCATAATTGTGAGATAAAATAGGTAAATGTTATTATAGGTTTAAATAGTAGCCTAGTCTATTTCATGCTGTAACTGTAGGGCTAATACAATATGTCCCCTATAAATGTTATAGGTTTAAATAATATTTCATGTTTTAACTGTAGGGCTAATACAATATGTCCCCTATGTGAATATTATATAGACCTACTGTTTAAATCAAATTTATGCTTTAAAAATAGGGTAATCATAGCAGGTTTCATCCATAGTGTGTCCGTTTAAACGTCTGCGTTTAGCTTCAAATGGCATTCATAGCTTCAAATGACGTCATAGGCTGTCGCCGGCCAACATGTTGTTGGTGTTTTTTGAATGTACAGGTGCATCTCAATAAATTAGAATGTCGTGGAAAAGTTCATTTATTTCAGTAATTCAACTCAAATTGTGAAACTCTCCTCCTATGTATCCTCTGGATACCTGCTTTAACAGGGTGTTGCTACTAGGGGTCTGTTGAGACAGTTCCTTCAGCAAGCTCATGCAGAGCAAGCGGTAGCCCCCTGGGTGACAGGCCAAGACCTAGTACGATTCTAGGCACTTGGTCGTATCCCCTTAAAGGAATCTCTTCCTGATTCCAAGCCTTGAGCTCTACCCCGGGCCCAGGAGTTCTGGCCCTAACAGGTAAGTTGTTTGGGGTATGTAGCTTAGGCCTTTGGCCGTAGGGGATAATATCACTGACAGCCGTCTAACGTCCCAGGGGCAACTCCCTTAAAGCTTTGGTAGAGTTGGTACTTAGTGCTCGCCTGTGGTTTAGCATGCACTCCCCTCAGCATGGTGGCATGGGTATACCGTTCCCCATAGCGACCCCTAGAGGACGCAGTTCGAAGTTCCCATGAAAGGGAACGTCTCAGGTTACTTATGTAACCATGGTTCCCTGAGTAGGGAACGAGACACTGAGTCCTCTAGTTTCCCAGCCATGCTTCGGGCGCAAGCTTCAGACGAAGAAGCGGATGACGTGTTCTCC